TGCGGTGGTGAAGTTGTTCTCTTGTCACCCGCCTGCAGGTCTCGAGTTCGACACCTATATTTTGCATAATCCAAATACATATATTCTAAAAAAACATCACAGGCTCAGGCAGCCTGATAGGCTTCATAGGCTTCTCACGGAGCCTGAGCCTGGCCTGTTAAACAAAATAGGCTTTGAAAAAAGCCTGAGCCTGGATTTATTTTTTAACAGGCCTGGCCTGATCAGGCCGAAAGAAGGCCAGGCTGCAGGCCCCTGACAGGCCGCCTGGCCTATTTCCACCCCTACTCTCCACTCTCCCTCGCCGACTCGCCGTGCGGCCCCACACGTAACGACAACGCGGCGTGACAATATCTTTAAATTACCCGCTTAAATTCTTATATATATAACTATAAATTTTGACAAAAACAACTGCATAAAATTAAATTTACTTATTTATTCTATTTTATGTCTCCGACATTCTGATTCCACCATCAAAATAAATTAAAAAAAATTATGAAGGGGATACTATGAAAATTACTCAAGACTCTAACTTCCCTCAATCAAGACTCTAACTTTGCTCAATATTAAATCTAGAGAGAAATATAATGAAGTTTCAAAAAAAATAATTATTAAAAATTTTCAATAACAATATAAATAATCTGTAATAATAAATTGTAAGAAATAACAACTTTTAAAACTTATTTTATAATTATTTTTTCCTTAGAATTTTATTATAATTCTCCCTTAAATTTATGTTTATCAGCAAAAGAATTTGGGAGTTGAAAATATCTTTTTTATTTTTTATTTTTCTGGGATGATGAGATCTAACATTAGCCAATTAAATAGGAAATAAGAGACTAAAAGTTAAAAACATTCATTTTTCATAAGAAAAAAGTTGGGTCTTGGGTTCATCAGAATAAAAACATTCACTCGTCTAAAAAAAATCTCTAAATAAAATTAAAATTTTAAAATCTTATACTACATCTAATTCTTAATATAAGACTCAATTGATTAATTTGAGAAAATTGAGAAAGTTACTAAATTAGTTTAGAATATTTATATTTATCATTTTTTAAAACTAATTTTTCTCTTTTTTTTATACGAAAAACTAATTTATCTCACTTATAAATTGATGGGTTAATAAAATTTTTGGTCGCTCAAGTTTGCTCTCATTTTGGTTTTAGTCCCTCAAGTTTCAAACTATAGGTTTTGATCCCTCAAGAAGTAAAATGATCAAGTTTTTATTAAATTATAAATGCTAATGTTTTAAATAAAAAGAAAGTTGAGGGACTAAAACCTATAATTTGAAACTTGAAGAACCAAGACTAAAATAAGGATAAACTTGATGGATTAAAGTTTGTATTAATCCTAAATTGATATATAATCTGGCGATCCACATAAGTATTTTAAAAAAATTATACTCCTTCTGTCTTTAATATAGGACTTAATTATTAAGTTAATTTTGATCCTAAATATAAGATCTATTTATCATATTTATCAATTTTTTTCTAAATTACCCCTATGAATACTCTCTTAACCATAATCAAGTAAGTAAAGAGGGAGAATATTGAGAAAGATTATTATGATGTTTTAAGAAAAACATGTCATATTTCTTATAATTAACTAATTTACTTAACTTCTTTAATATAATCAAATTAGTTAAATAGATATTATATTAAGAACCGGAAAAATATAATATAGGCTATAATTAAATAATTTATTAATTCTTTTAATATTTTTAAATTAGTCAATTTGGTTAATGGCAGCACAAAAAAAAAACTTCATAAATGCTTTCAGGTGGAGAATTTGAACGCTGATCACGGAGTGATAGGTTCAGGCTTTCAGCCCAATACGAGCCGTGGGATCAAATTCCCCCGACAAAATCGGCGGCGACCGATTGGTGAAAACGAAATTGCAAAACGGTGCTTTGGTGGGACGCGCCCCGCCGACGAGCAGGCCGCGCCCGCAAACATACACGCAATACATAACGGTTACATCCCCACACAGAAAATTTTCCTTCCTTCCTTCTCTATATTTAATTTCCATCTTCTTCATTTTAGTAATTTATTCATTAGTACTTTAACAGTTCAATTCTCCATTCACTTCTTTGTGATAGTGGATGCACCGGAAGTTGGATTCAGAAATTTATAACAGAATGAATTAGGAATTCATTTCAGTTCTTCTTTTTTTCCCGGGGCCAGAGGAATTCAATTCATTCTACTGCAAGATTTTTTTGCAGTATTTAGAAGAAGTGACCCCAATAGTAAGTGCTCCCTATAAAAAGGGTTATTCAGGAAAAAAATTTGGTTTTTATTATAAAACGTCAATAGAGTCATTAATGATTTTTTTTCTTAGTTTACCCCTAATTATAAATTATTATTGTTTATATAAATAACTCTTCACTAGCTCTTCGAACTTTGTTATAAGTGTAGGTTTGGATTAATGATATAACTGTTATTTCTTAATTTGTGTACATTAGCTTGTTACTGTCTTATAATAAGGACTAGAAGGAGTACCTATTTGTTAGTTGTGTAAAATTAATTTTACATAATGCAAAGTAAACATACCGGTGTGATGAACAAAGTTTTGTCACCTTTTAATGCTCTATGGTGTCTAGAGCAAGGTTGTCAAACTTACGAATTTAAACCAACTCTTGATAATGATATAAGCTCGAATCACAAACTCGGCTCGTAAACTCGTAAGAATTTACTTTTATTAATTAATTAGTATTAAAAGTATATAATCAAATAATTAATATATAAAAAATGAGAATAATTTCATTTAAATATATTTTAAATTTAAATAATTAAAATTATATTCATCAATGTTAATAATTTATCACATTTAACAAAAATTTTTTTACAAAATTCATATATAAAGTCACTAAATATAATCAAGTCCAAAAATTTAGCATGAGTTTAAAAGCGAGTTAACACGATTTTGTATGCTAAAAACGTAAAAAAAAGTAAACTTAGTAAATGAACTCGTAAGTTTAACTGAGTAAATCGACATGATTTTGTTAACTAAAAACGTAAAAACATTAAACTTGGAGAGTCAACTCGTGAGTTTAACCACAGTGGTATAGAGTTTTGTCTCACAAAGTATGAAAAAACCTTTTAAATTCTCCCAAATTTGTCGCAAGTAAATCTAAATTGTTGTCTTCACGATGTCAAATGTTGAAGATTATGAGGGGAGAAAACATTTCAACATTTGTCAGAGAGGGATGGTCTAGTAATTTCAATTTTTTTCAACTAAAATTAATACAGGTACAATAAATATTATCTTAATGATAATACATTAGATTTTTAATTAAATAATTGATCTTATCAGATTATATTAAAAATTACCTTGACTTGTTTCGAATTTGCTTTGATGTTATCATATGATATCATATGATAAGTAAATAGGCTATCGGTGTCATTAATAATAATACATGCGTGAGAGTGATAAAATAATAAGGATATGGCATTTTATTTGTGCAATAAAAAAATAACGTGTTTGATCATTATATAGATCAATCAACTTGACTACTCCTAATTATAATGTCTATGACCCTATGATATGCGTTGAATTAAAATATTAATATGAAAAAAACTAATAATAAATGAATCTAACTACAGTGAAAGAAAAAGCAGACCGTCCAACTCCAATCTACACTTCTTATTCAAGTCCTTAACCCATCCTTGCCAACACATACTTGTAAATATACTCATCTCAAAAATATATTTTTTTGTAAAAGAACAAAAAAAAGTAAATCTATAACGTAATATTATGATAAAAGTTGCTGAAAAATCTCATTTTTTTAAAATTTATCTAAAAAGTACCTAAAGGCCAGAGTTTTTGAATGTATGTAACTTTTTTTTGGGTATCACTTTGCGCAATTAGAAGGATTATATTGAAAAAAATACATAAATATTAGAGACAAAAGATTTGGGAATCTTATATTTAGGACTGAAATAAAAATCAAACGACATGTTACAAAGGTTAAATAAGAGGTGCACTTTAAATAATAAATTTTGTCACGAGAAAATTGAGAGCAATTTTCTCATATTATAATTATAATATTTAAAATGAGAAATGAACAATTAATAGAGGGAAGGATTAACAATACATCACATCTGTTACCAAAAAAAAAAAATGCACCACATCTTTATTTTTCAATTTATTTTTCTCTGACATCATATTCACAGATCGTGGCAACAAAAAAAAAAAAAGATTAATATTCAAGGAAAATTGATTCATATTCAAAGAAAATGTATAGTTTTGGGTGGGGGCACCGATTTATATATAGATGTAGAGGGAGAGAAGGAGAGAGACAGAGAGAAGGTGCTGGGCGATTGACTCAGCCTCTGCGCACCTCTGGTGATTTGGCATTTTCTGGTTTTGTTTTTGGTGCTAATTGGTTGGTTGGTTGGTCGCCTATTTCTGCCTTTCATCTTCTTCTCCTACAGTAGTTTTCAATTTTACATTTATGTGTCTCTGTGCATTTAGAAGAGGGTTCTCTGCTATTTAGCTTTAGCGTGCTCTGCTAAAGAATCACACTATCCATCAGCACAGGCACCAACGATATCACACACGGAAAGAGAAATATAGAGACAGAGAGAAAGTGAGAGAAGGGGGGAGCAAGAAAAAGGGCTATACTGTTTTTTGACTGACCTTTGTTGCTCTGTCTCTTTTTGTTCTTGTGGAGAGAATGGAATGATGGGCACGGTAGCTAAACTGGGCTGAAAGCGAATGTTTGGGTGCTGCGAGAATAATATTATATATATTTCTGCAAACAGGAGGCCTTTTGCTGTTTGGGAAACAGGAATTGATTATGAAAGCTGGCAAAATGAGACTACTTTGAAGGTATATCTTGGTTGGTTGAGCATTGTTGTCAAATGAGGTAATGTGTTTTGGAATGTTCTGAATCTGAATATCAGTTTTAAGTGTTTTGAGTTTCACTAGTTCAATATCCTAACGGGAAATTATTTTTCCCTCTGAAGAATTCTTCATACGCGTGACTCCCGAGGTGGGTGATCTTTGCCACCTGACTTGGATTGGGATTCCTTCCATGCAATATTTCACACCAAGACTTGGCCTAATAAACACAAACGCCTTCCACATGCGCAATCCTGTGCCAAGAAATTGTTGATTTTATTTGATTTCAAGGGTCTGATCAGAGAAGCTCTTATTATAGAAATCTTCACAGGATTGTTTTGTATTTTTTTGGGGGGGGAGAAAATGGCTTCTAATGCGGCGGAAATGCAAGAACCGAGCATTGACACCGATAAGCTTAGCTATGAAATCTTCTCCATCCTTGAAAGCAAGTTTCTCTTCGGCTACGAGGACCAGAAGGTCTGGCTTCCGAAGCAAATATCTGCGACAATTGAACCAAAACCAGAAGTTCAGTCTTACGCTGCCAACGTCGACGGCGTCTCCTCCATCAAGAATCAGAGAGGCAAAATATGCATACTCAGCATAGATGGTGGAGGCATGCGAGGGATTCTTCCCGGGAAAGCTCTGGCCTATTTGGAAAATGCGTTGAAGAAGAAATCAGGAAACCCGGACGCTAGAATCGCCGATTACTTTGACGTAGCAGCCGGCGCCGGTGTCGGAGGCATTTTCACGGCGATGCTTTTCGCCACAAAGGATCACCGACGCCCTATTTTCGAAGCCCAAAAAACATGGCAATTTTTAGCTGATCACGGCCAAAAGTTCTACCATCCTGGGTCCAGCGGCAGGAGCAGCCGCAGCTTCTTTCGTCGATTATTTACCAGCAACTCCGCTTCTGGTTCTGTCAGCTCCGTCACCGCCGGTCTGGAGAAAGCCATGAAGGAAGCATTCGCCGCGAACGGCAAAAGCTTAACTCTCAGAGATACTCTAAAGCCCGTCCTCATCCCCTGCTACGACCTTTCCAGCACGGCGCCGTTTTTGTTCTCCCGAGCAGACGCGCTCGAGACCGAGAGCTTCGACTTCCGGCTCTGGGAGGTCTGTCGTGCCACGTCGGCCGAACCGGGCCGATTCGAGCCGGTTCAGATGCGGTCCGTGGATGGTCAGACGGGATGCCTGGCTGTCGACGGCGGATTGGCGATGAGCAACCCAACCGGTGCCGCCATAACGCACGTGCTTCACAACAAGCAGGAATTCCCGTTTGTCCGAGGGGTGGAGGATTTGCTGGTGCTTTCGCTGGGAACGGGTCAGTTATTGGAGGCGAGGTATGAGTATGACCAGGTCAAGCGTTGGAAGGCTAAGGAGTGGGCTCGGCCTATGGCTCGGATTTCTGGGGACGGCTCTGCCGATTTGGTGGACCAGTCTGTGGCCAAGGCCTTTGGCCATAGCCGCACCTCCGGTTACGTTCGCATTCAGGTATGCGTTCCCGAAATTTCCTCTGCTTCGATTGAAAGAAATTACTTTGTTTTATTCTTTTGTCTCTCCATTTGGCTCAAAGCTGTCCGCTGTCCGTTGCTCTGGCTTCTTTGACACGGTTCAATCCATGCAAACGGCTAGTCTATGACCATAAAACACCCAATATGTGTAAATCAGACGGCGTTAGATATTTGCATAATGGATATATTTCACCCTCTTCTAATCATTGTTACATATTTTGAACTCATTCATGATGTAAGGCTGCGAGTGAGAAAAAACGATTAAAAAATGGACAGAAGTAAGGTTCATTTATCGGTGATGATTATACAAATTGTGTAGATTCATATCTTAAATTCATTCTTAAAAATATAGCGGTGGGGTCGAGAAGACAGGGTGGTTTTAGGATTGTGGCAGGGAAACCGGGAAGTTGTCGGATTTTATTTTAATTGTTTTCTTGTCGGATTTTATTTTAATTGTTTTTGTTCAAGGACTACACGTGATTGTGTGGGTGGTGCTGGGGATTGTTTCTATTGGGAACCAATCAAGGCTCTTTTGGTTTGCTCAAGGGTTGAGGAGTTTTTTGAGTTTCCCATCAAACGGTGGGTTGTTTTGATACGGAACTGTAGTGCAGGTGATGAGTATGGGTCAAATTTGTTCTCGTTCGGAATGTCCATCAAAAGGCGCGCGCGAGCACAAAGCCAAGAAACTAGTCTTAACCTGAAGTTAGGGTATCGAATAACTGGGGGAGTTTGAAGTTGTCCAGATGATGGAGAAGCTACCTAAAATTAGACCCTGAAACGTAAAGGGTATTCAATTTTGAGTCAATTTCAAACCAGCAAGGAGTGGGGTTTGTGTAGGGGAGGGATATTTCGCCTTGTCTCCATGTAGCAACTTGATAGGCATGGAGGTAGATTGCTGGATTTGGACTTGTTGGGATTTAGGAATTAATGTGTCTGGATCAATTGCTTAAAGGCCTTGCTCTCCATAATTCACTTTGCAAGCTTATTATGTGATGGAACACTTAGTGTGCCGTCTCTGGCGGTGGAGTTGAACAGCCACATGGATGGTTATTTTCTCACTCTAGGACAAAATTGTCGCATTGCTTATTGCAGGGCTTTGAACTTCATTTATCCAAGTTCAGGTCCTCTCCTTGTTTGAGCCGTTTATGGTAATACACTTTTCCGGATAAACTGGTAAAGTCTATTTTCAATCGGTTTTGACTTTTGAGTCTACTATAAGAAAAACAACCATAGGAGAAATTGGTTGGTACATCAGGTTAATCATACTCATAAATACACATATAATCCCGTCAAATGGGACCCAACTAAAATGCGCGTTTGACCTCAGTTGCTTTCCTGTGGAGACTGGATCCTTGGCAACAGCATCGCATTATTTTCATCTCATTTGCATTTCTGGAGTGTTATTATGCTGCAGACGACTTGAAACGATACTATTTATGAACTCAATAAATCTAGCTTGAAAATTGTTCGGCAGTAAATGCCAAATGAATTAAGGGTTAATTCTGAATGCTTCTGAAATGGGTAATGACAGGCAAATGGGTCAAGCATGGGGCGATGTGGACCCAATGTGGATACGGATTCAAGTCCTAATAATGTAAAGATGCTGATAGGGATAGCAGATGAAATGTTGAAGCAGAAGAATGTAGAATCGGTGCTGTTTGAGGGGAAGAGGATTGGGGATCAGAGTAACTTTGAGAAGCTTGACTGGTTTGCCGGAGAACTTGTGCAGGAGCATCAGAAGAGGAGTTGCAGGATAGCTCCCACTGTTGCTTTCAAGCAAGCTACCGAAAAAGCGACCTAAGGGAGCAGGTAAGTGGTCTCTGTTGTTTTGTTTTGGGTTACCTCAATCATTTTTATGCATCCTTTCAAATAAAGCGTTTAGTGGACCCGTTGATTAGATATGATCAGGCAGGAAAGGCATCTTATTCACGATTATACAAGTATATATAAAAAAAAAAAAAAACAAGGGAATTGCTTACAACAATTCGTGAAATGCAAAAAGCACAATGTAGTTCATGGGCAATTGTATTATATTCTTTTTTAAATCGAGGGTTGATCGCAATATTCAAAATTGGCATGTGAATTTTTAAAACGCATCCAAACATTTCCTTGGACTTTTTCATTAATACATGACAAAACATACCCTCAAGTAGTTTTTGGTGTTACTCTTTGTAATCTCAGTGCTCTTTTTCATTGGTTTAGTAAGAGATTATAATAGAATTATTGAGATTGTAATGGACTTATTCATTTTTTTTGAGCAAATAATGGACTTATTCATTGACTTTCAATTTTATAGTTTATTTTTTTGACAAATCCTTTTATCACCAAGGTCTAAGTAGTGAAATCCTTGGGGTTTCCCATTATCTTATTATAATTAAGTTATGCACTTATGCATCATGTTGTCAAATTTTACGAGGTAGTTCAGCCATATATATCATCATTTACTTGTAAACTGTGTGGACCAACTGAACCCATGCCCTTCGAGTTTGTCTATTCATTTACCTGTTCTTTAGGTAAAGGTCACCAACCTATTTTACCCAATAAAAAAAGAATATCATACCTGAGCCGATTGGTACACAATGTAATGAAATTAAAAGAAAAAAATCAGAATTTTGACAATAAAAAAAACAGCTCAATCTTAAAAAAAAAATAAAGAACTAAAAAAATTTGAAATAATAGTTACCAAAATAAAATAGATAATACTAGAAGTTAAAAAAAAAGAAGATAAAATTATTCTCTTTCCTTACTCCCCAAAGGAGCCATAGAGGCTTGATGGGAGGGCGCTGAGCTGGTCAAACTACATCAAAATTGGTCTCCTTAGCACTGTGTGATTGCCCCTTAAAAATTCATGATTTTTCCACTTGAATACGATTTAATTTATTGACTAGTAAAGAACTTTATCAGAAACATGTGTTAATTTTGTTATTTTGTGTGTCCTTGGGGGCACCGTCTTGTCCTTTTCTTCTTTGTTCAGCAGAACACACCTTAGAGGACAGCAGGAGGGTTCCTGTTCTTTTTGCTATACGTCGAAAATATAGCATAAGAGATGAATTGGTTTGTCGACCCACCGACACACCCACTCTTATTGTGGGGACTCGGGGAGGGACATCCTGGTAATTTAATTTAGAAGAAAAGATTTAGGGCTTAGGCTGTTGGTAAAAGTTATTATATAAAATTCACCAAAAAAGTTACTATTGTGTAAAATACTATTCTGTTGGAATTATTGAGGGCTTCCCCTAAACACACATTATTTGTATCCTGAAAGGTGCTTTGTAATAACTAGATCTATAATGCAATTTTCATGTAGATTAATAAATTATATGAATTGTATATTATTAAGTTTAATAAAGAAATAAGAGCACATGAAGAAAGATCATAGAAGAAAAGACAAAAACGAAGTCTGTTACTAGCTAAATTAGTCAAATTTTAAATTAAAATACTATCTATTACGAAAAATAGCACATATGTAAAATTATCTAGAATTTATGTCAAAGACAAACAGACAGTAATGTAAATATCTGGTCCCCGGAAGCCTGAAAATTTATATTTGTCAGTCCAATTAACATTTTTTACACATAATCCATTGGCGCACCTTTCAAGGCGCTGTCCTAAAAAATAATTTTCATATAAGAGAATTCTTATCCATACTGAGAATTGTTTTTGTTAATATAAAAGTAAAAAGAGAATAAAAATATGAATGCAAATCAATGTCGAAATTTTTATTAATAAAAAACAATAAAATAAAACTAACTCTATGAATTATTGCATAGATTACATAATCACATATTTTGTATACAACTTTACCCTTTCTTTCAAGGGATGCCAGTTGTAACCTTGACTGAAATCATTCATCTCTAGTCTTGGTCCCATTTCCACCTAGGCTTATTGTGGACGTGGTTGCATTCATCTCTCCCTTACACACAATACAAATGTCAAATCCTTAGGCTCTTTGAAAGAACACTAAAGCTGGTCCATTCAAGTATTCTTGGACTGTTATAGGCCGCATGTTTTTATTTCTGTAATTCACACACAGAAGTGAATCTTTCATAATTTAATAACTCAAGCATCTCTTAAACTATATTGTTTCCTTGGTCTCTTTTGGTGTGCTTCGTATGAGAAACTTCTTAATTGCACAATTTTTTTGGGTAAGTAGAGAATACATGCGTAGATTTCTGAAAAAGGTGTCGGGTATGGAACGCTAGCTGGAATTTAGTGAGTGAACAATGAAAGTAGAACTGAGCATCACCAGCCTAGGACATGATTCTTTTGAATATATAAATTTAGAAAAAAAGCGAAAAAGATTAGATTGAAGAAGATCTTCTTTTGTTATTGTAATGAAGAGGTGAGGGAAAAGTAGCAGGGAGGTGTCAAAAAGGAAGAGAAAGTTGGTCACGAGCTCACATTCCAAACATTCCCACACCTGCTCCTTGACTTCCTTCGACTTCTTGTATAGTGCTCCAACCACAATACGATTTTGCGTGCTTGCTTTTGAATAGCCTTTTATGTCGTCTTCTATTGTCCTTGCTCTTGATGTATAATGCATCATGTCAAATTGAATTGTTTTTACTCATATGAATTCAAAAAGAAAAGGGGTTAAAAGGTATGCCCTTAAACTATTCTTTCATGAGAAGTACGTATCTTAAACTATTAAATGGTGTAATGCCGTATCTGAAGTATTAATAAAATATTGTTAAAACAAATATAATATTTTTTTAATTACTTACTGGTGCCGATTTGACTTGTTTAGAATACCTTGTATCCTGAGAGAATAGTTTAAGGATAAAAATACCCGAAAATAATATAAAAGAACATAAATGTCTGCATCACTTAACATGTTTACACATTGTTTTTATGAATGCATGTATGGATGGGATTGTATTGAATTGATTGTGACTATTCATCAATGGTTAACCATGCCTAACTTTGCCCGGGGGGGGGGGGAACCATGCCTAACGTTGGGTCTTGTATCTCCTTGCTTTGTTTTGTGATGGTTGGCGTTGCGTTCAATTGAATGTAACCACTTTTGACATTAAAGTCCACTTTTTTTCAGGTATAAACAGACATTAGGAAGGAGAAAAAGGAGCAGCAGTGGGGGGAAAAAAAACAGGAAAGAAGAGAGGAGGTAGTATAGCAGCTTTTACTTTTCAAGTGAAAATAGAGGAAGAAGGTTAGGGAGATGATGGAAATTGAAAAGGACAAGGAGTATCAAAAGGGGTGGATAACCTTTGTGGGATACTTTGCTCCCCAGAGAACAAACACTGGTGTCCACTCCTACCTTTTCTACAGTGCTAAACACTAAATGAGCCACAATACCTAAAAAGCATTTTCATTTGTAGCCTTTTTAGGGTCAAACACGCTTCAGCTTGGAAATTTCAATTTCAATATCAGACTTTTAAGCCTCAAACATGGTCTGCACTTCATTCTTCCCTGTCCGTTCTCTCTTTCATTTTTTTTAATTTAATTTTGTTATTGGATATTCTTGTAAATCTGTGATTCTAAATATATACACACATATATATTATCTGTCTCATCTTTGCTTTCAAGGAAGTTTAATTACCTGTACTGGGCGGTGGGCTTACGTTGATGTGAGTGAAACTTTAGAAATGGTAGTCAAAGTTCATTCTGACTTTTAATGCACTTCATAATACTGTGTTTCTTCAATGTACATAGTTACAGAATGGTGAAAAGATTTATGAGCGACCTTTTCTTAGTGTGGTGGGCCATCAAAGGCACTTGTCCTTGGTTGCATGCTACTACTTAAACTACGCAATATATATATATATATATATATAGATATATATGTGCGCATATAAAATTATTGTTTTGAATTGTCTCTGTATGATAGTAAAAGGGACTTTTGAACTAATTTGTTCAAGTGTCTTCTGTATGTTGTGTTCATCTTCCTGTTGGATTTTTTCTCAAGGGAAATCCCATTCATATCCAATCAAAATGGCCAAATTTCAAATTGTCCCATCAGATTCAACAAATCCTTAATTAGTCCAAAAGATCAATCGGGGATTTGAGAATGTTATGTATTTGCAACGTTGCTTTTCATTTTCTTTTGAAAAAGGGGCTACTCCTGTGAATCATCGGAGCCCAAAGTCATCTCTGCCCGTAATTGGCCGTCATCCCTTGCGGCCATCAACGATAGCAACAACTTTATTGTAAATAGATACTGAAATTTTGTGAATTGCTAAAAATAACAACAAAGATTTAGGAATTGAAGTATAAGTCTTTCTATATACTATAACAACAAAGTGTTATTTTACTATGTGAGGTTAGCTATATGGATCGTACGATACTATTGAGTCCTATCCAAAACCAAATTTTTATATCAATATAAATTTAAAAAAATACTCTTATGTAGAATTTTTCTGGTTCTAAATATAAGATTCCTTTGTAGTGTAAAATTATACTACAAAATGGGTTTTATATTTAAGACTCGAGGAGTATTTGAATTCAATATACTGTCCCGGCGGAAAATTATACCTAAAATACTACGTTGGCAACTCAAAAACAAAAAAAAAAAAAACAAAAAAACCAAAAACTTAAGGCAAGTATGTCTTAAAAACAGATGCTTTTGACCCTTGTGGGATGTGGGCCCTTGGTTCTACAACGTTCATCTCCGTGCCGTACGGTTAATTTGCTTCTTCTTGAAGCAATCCACCATGACCTTTTTAATATTGACTTTCTCCATCACTCTCTTTTTTTTTTAAATTGAGAAAAGAAAAATTGCCATTCTACCAAAGTAATTGCAGAAAATTTACATAAAAATGGTAAGTTGCTTTGAAACGTATTGAAGAAATGAGTCCCAACATTATTTACCACTTTTGTGTATGAAATAATGTGGCAATCCACGTAGATAGAGACATGTCATCCATTCCTTTTTCTTAATTACCCAAAGCCAAGCCTCAAATCCGTCCCAATATATATATAAGGCATTTTTAATTGTTTCATTCAGTTTAAGAAAGATGATTAGTGCCGTTAATCTTACTACCTCCGGTCCTAATTATAAGACCCAGTTGACTTATTTGAGGAGATTAAAGAAGTAAGTTAAGTAAGTTATTTGTAATAAATAAGTATTGTCATTTCTAAAATATCCTTACTAATTAAGTATATTGGCTAGAACTATCATTATTAGAAGGATTATCTTGGAAAAAAATGCATAAATATGAGAGACAAAATGGATTGGGGTCTTATAATTAGAACCAAACAAAAAGTCAAACGGAGTCTTATAATAAGGACCAGAGGTAGTATTACATTTGTCATAAATTAATACCTATACTTTAGACCACTCAAACGGCATAAAAAGGGGGCCCGAGGGCCAATGTGCACGTCCACGTCATTTAACTGGGTCCCACGATAACATCCTTTATATGAAAATTAGTCCTCATTTTAATTTTAATTCCTGTAATTCTAAATCATATTTTTTGATCTTTTAAGTTTTTGTTAGTTCTCATCTTTTTACAAAAGTCTAAATCATTTTGTCCCTACTAAAAGTAAAATGAGAGAAAATTATAAGTACTAAATATTATATTAACAATTATGTGTATTTTTGTATCATTTTAAAAAATTTATGTGTATTTTTGTATTTTTTTTCTCAACCTATATATTTGGTACATCGTCAACGTCAGTTGACTTAATGGCCGTGATATTTTTGTATCATTTTAAAAATTATATATATATTTTTATAGTACTCAAGAAATTAAAAATTTATGGTGTTTGATGCCTTGGTGAAATATTTTATCCGTAGATTTATAGCTTAACTCGAAATTTCAAAAAAAGGGGAAAGAAAACAGAAAAAGGAAGAAAGAGTGAGTAACGAAAGAAGAGCGGAGTGGCTAGCAGCGTCACCCCCATAATCGGAGGAAACGTGCGTCTGTGTGGGGGAACTTTTTAATGGGATTGGACCCCAAAAATATGAAATCTCAATTCTCTCCAAAAGTTGCAGTAAAATGGCACCACTTTCACGTTTGGTTTGGTTGTTGTCTTTGTGCATACCTACTTTAATTTATACTCTTTCGAGTGCCAACGGAAATGAAATCCCAAATTATGTTTGGTTGGTTACGTTCCATATTCCATGCAATGTTTCCCATTCCTTCGCAATTTTAAGGCCATGGAATAAAATTGTCATTATTAAGTATTACCCTTTCATTCACGTCTCCAGTTCCTGTTTGAAAATGGTACCCCATTTTGTGGTCAACCTAAGAGCTATTACTTCTTATCCTAATTATAAGATCCTGTTAAGGGGATCTTATAATTAGGACTAGAGGTAGTAGTAGCTAGATGAGTATATTTAACCTTGAAAATAAGAAATCAATCCATTTACTCTTTTGAAGTCATACTACCTTTGAATATACGAGTCAGTTGGAGGTTACATGGGTTATTTTAGTACTTTAGGAAGATTAAGTCACATTTGTTGTAATTAACTAATTTATCTTGCTTATTTAATTTACTCAAATTATTTAAGTAGCTCTAAACTTAAAAATTATAAGAAATATAATAGTGTTTTTTTTCCCAAAACGCTTCCTATTTTTTTTATCAAACACATGTACTCCTCCGGTCCTAATTATAAGACCCAATTGACTTAGTTGAGGAGATTAAGGAAGTAAGTTAAGTTGGTTATTTATAATAAATAAGTGTTGTTATTCCTAAAATATCCTTGCTAATTAAGTATATTGGTTAAAACTATCATTATTAGAAGGATTATCTTGGAAAAAAATGCATAAATATAAGAGAAAAAATGAATTGGGTCTTATAATTAGGACCAAATAAAAAGTCAAATTGGGTCTTATAATAAGGACCGGAGGAGTATCTTTCTATTAGAGGTTTATTCAAGGAACTGTCAAATATTAAATGTAGGTATTTCTCCCTATTAATTGAATATATCAAGGAAAATTTGCATGAATTGAGTACTTTTCAATACAAATTACTTAAAAAGATTTTTTTAAAAAAATCAATACACATTTTTATAAATAATTAAGTTGACTAATTTTTTTTTTAAAGAAACGTTAAAAGAGTGATTTTCAATTCAACCCAGCATTAGCAATACCTTTGGCCAAAAAAAAAAAAATTCAACCCAGCAATACCTGGTAATGATATAAAATATAAAAGTATTATTACTTCTGATCCTAAATATAAATATAAGAACTATTTATAGTATAATTTATATTACAAACTAATTTTTATATTTTGCAACAGAGGTAGTGTGATATGATTGGAGATAAACACACACAGTGATGAATCATCTCATGCTGTTAGTATATGAATAATTTGGAAGTTAAAAAGTGGTAAGCTTTTGGGCTTGCTCAACTGGAACTGGAATTAATGAATAGACAATTAATAATTCAGGCCTGTTTGGGATAGTAGTAAAAATTCTTTATAAGTATGTTTTACGTAAATTGAAATAAAATTTTTCTCATATATTTACCTCATATTTCATAAATTACGATTGAAAAGTTATTTGTAAACTATTCGAAACAGGCCCGATATGACCTTACCAAGTGTTGATTTGTAACACAAACAAACGAAAGAAAGAATTGAATACATATGAAGCATATTCCACAGTGAAAATGTAGCCAAAAGGTTTGAATTTGATGTGAAGTGTCCCTTTGCTTTATCAACTTTTTGGGCTAAACATTAAATAAACTAAAAATCCATACCCTGTGATCTCACAAAAAGGAACAAAAAAAAGAAGCTACTTTTTATTTTTCTCCCGTCCTTTTAATTAATCATTCCTTAATTTGCTCTCTATCTCTGCAAATCAAACGCTTATAATTAAAGACGTATTCATATTCCTTTCCTCTCTTTTTTCCTTGGATTGATCTTCACATCTCCTTTTCTTATTTTCATTCTGTTTGGCAGCTCTCAATTATCATTCACACTTAAACTAATTCATCAACATTTTTACAAAGAAAATATTTTCTTCGTGAGAAAGCATGAGGGAGAGATTCTTTTTCTTATAAATTAGTTAAGATGTAATTGTGTGTTCATTAATTAGGGTTTGCTCGTAGTCTTTGATTCTGGTGCTAAGTCTTTGTTCATTCACAAAATAATGGAGAGCATGCTTCATTTTTGTCATCTATTCCCCATTATCATCTTTTCCATACCCACTGACTTGCCAACCAAAACATTGATATATTCAAGACTTGATTTTTTTTCCCAAGAAAAAGGTCATCAACAATTAAATTCATGACTTTATAAATTAAGTAGAGTGAACTAGTTTAATTAATCCAATAAACTCCTTTTGCCGTATTAGTTTGGAGTAAGAACAATACTTTTACGCTTTACAAAATAAAATTCTCATCGCATTTTATTTTTTACTCAAAATAAACTAATTTGAAAACCAATGATCACCTTAGATCTTGTCGAATTGAGTCAAACATATTGAGCCAGACATGCAACAAGCTAAAGTAATACTTAACTTGACTCAACTTGTGATTATTTGTTTTTTTTT